TTTTAGAACCAATCTTATATTATATTATAATATATATTTTCTATAACAGTAATTCAATAAAATATTCAAAAATATCCGAAACAAAAGAATTTGTTATAAAGAGATTTGATCGTAATTAACAAACATCTTATTGTTATTGATGGAACATTAGGAAAAACAAAAGGCTTACCTTTTTTATTTTCTTGGAAATTTTAAAGTTATACTATATTATTTTTAGTTGGATTTGTAGCCGCCCTAGAAATCCTATATCCTATGTATGACAATGCCCGTGCATTAAAATATTTGTAAATATGGTAAGTGCTACAACCTAGGTAGGAGCATAAGACTTTATTCTCTGGAATGATTGTGATAAGTTTTATAATGTCTAGTATGTATTATTAGTATGAAATTGCCTTGAAAAATTATTAGTAGCTTTTATTGAGTTACCTGAATTATAAGCACTTTAGAGTCAGTTTATCAACAAATTACTCCTCACTTTGTGCTTAATCTTGAGAGAACTTCATTTTTAGCCACTCAATAAAAACAAATGACAACTGCTAGCCATAAAATAAGGCATACAATTCATAGCACAAAACCAACTATAAGGGCTAGCAAGTGAAACCTAGAAAACAAGCGGACACTCTAGCTCCTCAATGCAACCTTCTTTTACACTTAATATTAGTAGTCAAAATATTTCAAAGCACCCCAGTAATCCTTCAAACCTAGTGAAATCCCCGTCAAAATCCACCCCTTCAGCCCAAAAATTTCATTAAACCCAACCGTCTTCTCCATAACTACCAAAATCCCCTTTTTTATCTTTTACAAAAAAAATTAAATTTTTAGTGATCCGATCTAGAAAAAATATAATATTGCATAAGCAAAAATACCCATGATATAAGAAGAGGAAGAAGGTGATGTATAGGTTTTACACGTACTATACACATTATACACTAGTATAAAGTGTATATACATTTTTTATACATCGTCGAACAATATATATACTATTATACACTTTATATACAAAACTATATGAACATTAAATTTGTATAAGAAGTGTATATGCATTATATCAATGTAGATACACTTTTCATATAAATGTGCATACATAATATATACATATTATATACAATATTTTCAACACTCACCATAGTACAGTAATCTTTTACGTCCAGTTTTGTATAATATGGTGTATAATGAATGTATAATAAATGTATCATTAGTGTATAATGTATACACACTGATTATACACTATATTATACAATTATTATACACTGATTATACAGTGTATAAATAAAGGAGCACTGACGATAATGGAGGACACCGAACTTGGCCGGAAAAAGCTTTTCTCTGGCAGCGGCTATTTTATTTTCTCTATTTCTCATCTTCTTGCAAAAGTCATCCGAAAAAATATCATGCAATACTATATCTGAAAGTGGACAGAAAGCGAAGAAAGCGGTAACCACCGCTATACTTTTGCCAGAAATTACTCAAAGAAGATAGATATTTCTGTATCTAAGTAAAAGAGGAGGAGATCGCAAAGAAAAAGAAGGAAAAAAAAGTGTGTTGGTGTCGCTGTACGAGAAGAAAAGAAAAAAGAAAAAAAAAATGAGGGAGTGAAGAAGGGAAAAGATAATAAGAAGAAAGGGAAAGATTGAAGATTGAAGAAAATGAGAAGAGAAAGAGAGAGGAGCGTGCGGTTGAAAGAGAGTAGAAGTGTATTGAGAATAGTGGCTATAATTTATCAATAAATTGGGTCTAAAGGCTATTTCGGGTCCATGGGGTAAAGGATGGGCTAATAAAATTTTGAAGGGCTATAGATAGTTTTCTCTTTAATCTTCGAAATGAAGATCGTTAGTTTTTATTAGTCATCAATTTTTTTATTCACGAGTTGAACTTATATGGATTGACAATGAATTTTTTTTTTACATTAGTTCACCTAAAAAATAACTACATGTTATCACGTACAGTCAACCCTTGTTATAACAGCCTCGTTTGTTCCCATATTTTTTGGCTTTTTTAGTGAATGGTTGTTATACACCTATAACAACATTTGACATTTAAATAGTTTTTGGCTGCTATAGATAAAAATTATTAAAAAAAAATCAATTATTTTTTCTTTTTTAATGTTATATATAAAAGATAAAAAAAAATTACTTAAATTTAAAATCTCAAAAGATATGCATATTTCACTAGTTAAATGTTGAAGAAAGCTAATACATTATTAATAAATTCATAACTAAACATATACAGGTTTAAACTCTAAGGCAGACCTTTTAAAGCTACCTAAAAAAATTCTTTCAAGACTGATGGAAGAACTTTGTAATTGTAGCTTGTTTCGTAGATTTCATTCTCTTACTAGCGATATAACACTTGAATTGGCAAAGATTCGTGTCCAAATTTTTAGCAAAAAAGTATCCAATAGCTTTCCTTTGAAGACAATCTAAGAGCTTAATAGTAAAATTTTCTATCTAATTTTTTTGGATTTCTCGTGAAATAAAAGAAAAGAATATACATGATGATGTCATGTGCAAATCTTCAAATCATATATTGTATGCAAGATAGAAACTTTATTTAATGAATTTTTAGAATTATTATTAGTAATATTAAAGATTTTATATGGCTGTTATAGAGGGATAATTTTACAAAGAGCGTTCTGCTATAAATATGGTTGTTGCTGTTATAGGTAAAAAGTTGTTATAGAGAAGTAAAATATAACTTGAAAAATCTATTCTAAGATGAAAATTTGACTTTGATAATGAATGACTGTTATATAAGAATCATATTATAGAAAGGTGTGGGTGTATAATAAATGAGATAGAAAAATACTCTTGGTCATCTGCTGTAAAAATTAAACTCTACAGTGACAGTACAAAAATTGTGAGAGAGTAATATTATAATGTCTAAAAAAAAGGTATATTCAAACAAATATTTGTTGTCAAATATGCGCCAATATGCGCACCATGTTTTCCGCCGAGAATGTAGGCCCAGGAAGAAAGAGCTAGCAAAAAGAGATCAAAAATTCAATACCCCACACAAAACGCTCCTATAAATGAGTTACATGTGATTTTGGAAATATGTGGAATATTGTAACCTACTATTATGAAATTTATCTTAATTCAGTACTTTTGACGTAAATTATAAATTTATATATAAAAATTTATTGAATTTATAACAAATAGAAGTAGTATATATTAATTTAAAATTTTAAATATATAATGAGTTCAACACTAAAATCTTAAAAGTTAAACTCACATGATTTGAGTTCTAGATTCTGCTTCATTTATTCCATGCACCCTTGTCAAAATTTTCAAAGTATTGGCTTTACTTCTCTTTCATACGCTGTCAATTCTCATGTCAAAATTTTCAAAGTATTTGGCTTTACTCGTCTTTCATAAGCATCTTACACAGTCCCATTAATAATTGAATTAGTGCTATCACTTCACATTCTATGGTTGGAGCCTCTTTTTCAGGCATTTATGTCCCTTTCCACTCTCCTTTTTTTATTGATCCAAGACACCCTTTTTTGCATTTTGTTATTTTCTCACACCAATTCAAAGCTCCATTACTGCAAGCAAAGAGTTGCAAGATTTTTTACAATCCTAAAATTTTACCTTTGCAACAATGCTATACTAATTCTTTTTTAGGATTAAAATTATATACACAAATAGTGTAAAACAAAATTACAGTATCACTATATTTTAATATGTTATAGCTATAGTGGCGATAAGGATGCACAAATCGAACCGGAAAATCGTACCAAACCAAAAAGTCAAACCAAACCGATTTGGTTTGGTATTGAGTAAAAAAATCCGAATCAAACCGACATATAAATATATAATTTTTGTATATACTTTTAAGATTTTATATTAAAAAAAAATTTAAAAATGTCTAAAAATATTTGGGATTCTCTTGTGGGATATATTAATAGTATATGAAGTGCTCCATATTTATTAACCTTAAATAATGGGTTGAATGATCACTTTCTCATCAAGTGTTACTGAAATGTGTCAATCTCTTTGTTCTTCCATATTTATATCATATGTTAAGATCTATTAAATTCTTATATCTTTTTCGAATGTTAAGTGATTATTATTATTTAGGTACCATATTGATTTTTATGTTTAATTACTAAATTTGGTTAACCTTGAAAGTGTACATCAACAAAATATTATTGTCAAACGACTAAAAAAATAACTATTATGTGTTACTAAGAAAATTCTCCCATAAAAATATTTTAATAGATAATATGTTTGTCAATTTTTTATATTTTTACTAAACATATATTTACTTATCAAAAATAAAATAAAATAAGATTAAAATAATATTTAAGTAACAAAAAATCAGAAAAACCCGACAAAATCGAACTAATCCAAACCGATATAGTTGGTTTGGTTTAGTTTTGATAAAAAAAAAAGGAACCAACCTGGTCCATGTACACCTCTAGGTGGCGGATGCAACCCTTCGGCAACGGGTTCATTCGGTCTAGTATTTTCTATGCGGTGCATAGACATATATGTAAATACTCACTAAAATTTGAACAAATATCATATTTGAACTTATAATCTTGCTAGTTTAATAAGTTTAATGCTGAGAACTTAAAGGTCGAATCCATCAAATTTAAATCTAAGATTCGCCTTTGGTTATCTACCTTATTTTTTAGATTACCAATCCCACTTATTTTCTTTTATGTGATGATAATTCTTTTAAAGATATATTAAGAAGGTGTTGGAGCTAGTGTTTCTTTTATTTTGGTTATCTTTACTATTTGTATTGTCAATTTTTTTCCCAGTATTTTCATCTTAGTTTTTTTACTCTCGTATTTCTCAAACCTATTTTGAAAACGCTTTTTTATGCGGAGGGTTTGTTGGAAAAAAGTTTTTTGAGGTAGGGCCAAGATCTGCGCTTACCCCACTCTCCCCGGACTTTACTTGTGGGATCGTATGTTGTTGTTGTTGTTGCCTGTTGGTGTTAGAGCCAACTCTATTATGAGAACCCTCGTGGACTCTTGCACTGAGTTAGCCCTTTATTCAAATAAACCTGCATATTCAAACACTTTCTATATATACACGTATATAGGGGCCAATTGTAATAATCTAACTAAAAGAATAGGAAGCAAGGGAGTTGAGATAGGCTGTAGCAAATGGGGAGTCTTCAAACCAAGGATAAAAGCAACCCAAATATCAAAATTATTGAAGGGTTGAAGTATAAAGTAAGGCATCTCCAAGCTGAAGTGAATGAAATTATGTGCATAAGGGAACATGAGAATCAAGCTTACCAACAAGAGGTGATTATTTTTGCATTGAAAGAAGCAGAGTGGAAACAAGAAAGGAAGAAACTTAAAGAGGAAGTGAATAAATGGAAAAAGACGTTGGAAGAGAAAGAAGAAGAGAAGTTCAAATTTGGAGTGGAAAATCATGAGATGATAAGTGAAAAAGGGGATAAAGAGTGTTATATTAGGGAAGAACAAGTAAGAAGAGATGAGACAATTGAGAAGTGGAAACAGCTCTATTTTGCTATCAAAATTGAACTTGATGAACTTATTCAGAGGACAAATCAAGGTATTTTTCATTTTCTTATTACGTGTATCATAATGTATTGATTGCTGTCATTTCATAATTATAGATAGCACTGCTTTAGGGGGAAAAAACAACCAGTTAAGATCAGATTTTGATGGTATTTTTCGGTTTATGCCCTTCTCAAATTATTTGCTCATGCCCTACAAAAAGAGTTCTTCTTGATTATTTTCTTTTTTCCCTATATCTCCAACTCCTTATTTTTTGGTGAAAGGGGGAGGAGGGTGTTTATTTTTTTTGTTTTGTTATTTGCTTGAATATTCGGTTTTCGAAATTCAGTCTAGACTATATGTATTTGCATCAGGAAGGTTCACTATAGAGTGAAAAGCTAAGGGACTTTATTCCCCTGGGCTCGAGCTTTAAACTTTTGGTTAAGGAATGAGGAACGGAGCTAGAAGTTGAATGTGGGTTAAGTCGAATCTGGTAACTTTTGTTCAAATAATATATTTGTATAAAAAAAATTCATTAAATATGCATAAATATTGATTTAAAACTCAGTTATTAGCACTTGAAGTCTCGTTCTAAAATACATAACTCATATAGTTTAAATCTTGGCTCTGTGTGACTCTTTATCATTCAAACATATCCTTTGGTGATGTGAGTGGTTTAACTAAAGTTATCCTTTAGAATTTATTCAAATCTTGTAACCTTTTTTAGATTCGATCTTGATGTGCTTAATGTGTTTTATAGGAGAAAGACTCTACTGTAGAACAGAAGAGGTGGAGTTATTAGAGGAGCTACATGGGAAGTTGAAAGCAAAGGAAGAAGCAATTACATATTTAAAAGAAAGAATTGCTTCAATGGAAAAACAAGAAGTGAAGAGGGAGAGAGAAGTGGATATTTTGAGGCAAAGTTTGAAAATTATGAGCTACAACAAGAAGGTTACAATCCTTAACAAAGGCTAGCATTTATATGCGTGTCATAAAAGAGTTTGCATATTGCAATTATACTATTGTCTCTACTCTAAAATAGTTTTCTTTGGTTCCATTGAAGCATTAATGTGCTTCACATAGTAGTTTTGACATCTTTGTCCAGTTTATTATGGTTATTTTTTTACCAAAGAGACGGTTAATTTTTGCTAGGAGCGAGTTAAGTATGGCTACCTAGTGATTTACAAGCACTCTTACTGCACACTTTTTATATATCCATCTCCCTCCAATCAAAGACGTCCACACCCTATAAGAGAATCAGACTCTGCGAAAACAAGACTTGAACTATGCTCCTCATTTTCTTCCTGTGATTTACTATCTCAAATTTCACAAAGAGTTGTACTTCTGCACGCTCAATGGACTAAACTAAAAATAATAGGGTAACTCGGTGCACTAAGCTCCCGCTATGCACGAGATCCGAGAAATAGCCGGACCACAAGGGTCTATTGTATGCAGCCTCACCCTACATTTCATTTTTGTAAGAGGTTGTTTCGTTTGGCTTGAACAATCTGTATTAATATTGAGCAATACATGGTTTTATAAAAATACAGATAATTATACATGGTAAATCTATACTTATAATTTGATATAAATATCGGTTGCAAATAAATTTTCATTGGCACCAAAATCTGAATATCTTAGGGGATTGTCACAAAATTATTATTTGGGCGTGAAATACTGAACACTTGTAATGAGTTATCTTGTATTTTTTTCTTCTTTTTGGTTATATTACCCAAAAGCCAATAAAACTTTATATGCGTATAACATAGTGATCATAATTTTGATTACGAATGCGAATAAATTTTTACCATTCACTATAGAATCACTTCAAATCACATACAAACTAGTAATTTTTCACTCGTACCTTAATAAAGGCACACTAAAAGGGGGGGGGGGAAGAAGAATAAAACCAATGGAAAAAATTGGTACAGTATTTATTTAGTGATCTTGACTTTCATTTGTTTTTGTTCGATCCTATTCCTAGTGTGTTCTTCACCCCATCAACTGTACCTTGAGCCATGTGCATCATTTGTTCTCCAGTCTAAAAGACAACCAACAAGGAGAAAAAAACTAATTAAATATTGCCAAAAATATTTATTAAAAATCATTGGTAAAAAATCAAATGAGAAATATATATTTTTAGTCGCTCCCAAATATAACAGATAAAATGTATTTTTTTGTATATATTTATACTATATACATATAATATACATATTTTATATACTTTTTGACTAGCGAATGTAATTAGTTTCGTTCAGTCGACTAATTCTGTATTTTACCCAAATAAAATTACCTGGTGAAGGAATCCAGAATTCTGTTCCCTTTTTTGTTGAGCTGACTCACGAGCTCTTTGGATTGCATCTTCAATTTTATTAACAGAGGAATTTGCTGTACTGTTTGCTGATTCTACCCATTGCTCAGTCTTGGCCTACCAAAAATGGCACGTAGAGTAGAAGAAAGAAATATGAGAACTTGTCAAATCGTAATTCTTTTAATAAGTTTAAATTCTACGCACATGCTGACAACAACGTAAGAAGTAATTTCAAATTATGTCACTTTTAAGGTGATTACATATAGATACCTAAAACAAAATTAATTGATAACATGATAAAAATAATAATTAACCTGCTATAAATCACATACTAAACTACATTGGTATTATAAAAAATATATTTATGATGTGAATACATATAACTCGAATACATTTTATAACTAAAGAGTAGATGACATTTCACCTCAGCTTGGTCATGGGATTGATCAGCATTGAATTGAGCACTTGCCATATTTGATTCTTGATATTAGTTATAGAAATGCTCCTTATTTGTTTTTGTTTAGGACTTGAATTCAGTATAATTAAAAAACTTCTGGGCTGATAAAAAGCTTTTATAGAGAGGTTTTTCAGTGATTGGTTTAGATTATTGATATGCTTGTTTTGCTGCTATTGATCTGGCTTTTTTTGTGGCTATCTTTGTTTGCCAGTGCGCAAATTATGTTAATCCATACATGTTTAAATGTTATCCTGTTTTATTTCATTTCCTTTTAATATCTATCTCTCTTCGTTTTTCTAGAATTCTCCTACAATATAAAAAGGCCGTGCTAAGAAGAAATTAAGGAAACTAAATGTAAATAATAAACTACAATAATATGTACTATTTGAAAAAAGTTTAGTTCTTACGACATTTCATTATTAAGAAAAAACATGATAAATCTTAATTTGATTATATTATATTGAAGTTTTTGTTTTAAAGACTCAACCAAATAGATGGTGATGTCGAAGAACCTGTTTTCATTAATTTCAAGTACGAATTTCGGATCTTCTGCACCAATCTCGAATTGATTGAACGACTTTTTGAATCAAATATATTTTTGAAGAATTAACTCAATAACCGTCCATCCAACCGCTTAAATTAAAAAGGCATAATAATACTATTTTTTTCAAGTTTATCAAAGCTCTAGTCCAGTTTCTCAAGCCTTTCAAAACCAGCCGACTTGAAATTTTTTGATGTACACTGTAAGCCTCTCCAAATTAGCCGACTTGAAATTCTTCAGTAGTGTGTATGATACCACCTGTAATTTTTCTTTCTTTTTCAGTTTTTCTTCTTGTCCATTTTCTTCTTTAAATCCATTGTTATGTAAAGACAAAAAATATCACCTTATGGAACAACGAATTTAGTGTGATGGCTTCATTTCCTTACTTTTTTCTCTCATCTTGCCCTCTTTATTATTAAATAATCATATTTTATCATTTACCCTACTTTTTTATATAATAATTTTACTCCATATCCTATTTTTTCTTAGTAATGTTACAACTTTATTCTTTATATTGTTGATGCATGACACATAAAACGACGACAAACGATATAATCGATCCATATATTGTATTCATCAAATAATACAATACAATACATTATGAAACGACATGTAACAACAATCAAAACAAGTTGTTAGTTAAATAGATTAACCCATCTTAACTACGCTCTACAATCTACAAGGCCGACCCAGTAATCAAGTCTCGCCCTTATCCACTTGAAAAAATAGTAAAAATAGCACGGGCTAGCCAGTTTTCAGACTAGTAATTGAAAAATAGCCAGCGTTTGCAAAGTCATTGAAAAATAGCCAATATTTTGCTACAACACAGAAAGTTCCAGCATAATATACTGGAGACTGGTGCACCTGTGTATGAACTTCCAGCATATTATGCTGGAACTCCAACACACGAAAAGTTCCAGCATAATATACTGGAGACTGGTGCACCTGTGTATGAACTTCCAGCATATTATGCTGGAACTCCAACACACGAAAAGTTCCAGCATAATATACTGAAAATTGGAGCACCTGTGTATGAACTTTCAGCATAATGTTGGACCAGTATATTATGCTGGAAGTCCAGAATAAATTGAAACGGAGACATCTTTAAACAACACGAGTATCAACATCATCATAAGGTTGTAAATCATTATTTGCAAAGGATCCCAACACAAATATCATCATCATAAGGTTGTAAATCAAGATCTGCAAAGGATCCTAAAGCGCCCAATTTAGGCGTCAAGTACTTACACATGCTACATAAATAACATCAGTATCAATACCAGCAATGTCAATAAGCAACAGACGTGCAACCACATAAACAAGACACTGGTCATCGGAAACATTCACTTGAGTACTAAACTTCCAACGATAGGAATATTCCCTAGATACCAACACATAGCATGTACTCGGTGGATTAGTCAAGGCGCACACAAGTTGGCGAGAACACCACCGTCCGTTATGAAAGAAAGGTTAATATATTCCCCGGCTTGAGATGGAAAGCAAAAGATACAATCTTTCATACAAAACCAAACATACCTTGTTACTTACTATACATGAACAACCAACAAACACATAACCTAGATAAAAGCATTTTAAAATGCCTTCATGTTCTTGCAATGTGGCCCCTTCCCCGCACCTTGCGTGAATGTGGGATGCTTTGTGCACCGGTCTGCCCTTTTAAGTACGAATGAGATATTAGATTAAGCCAACACTGATGCCTAACAGAACTGTGGAATCAAGCCACCCAGAGTATTATCCCTGTACTCCATCAGCAATGAAATGCCAGAATACAGTAATCTAAACTTAGGTGCAGCAATTCGACTCTCCAAGAAAACGATACTAAAGAAGCTGACAGCTTAAGTTCTACGAGGAATAGTGAACTACAATGAATGGAATCACGCAGCTCGATTTTGGGCAACCACCACGTAACAAATATGAAAAATTAATCGACTATGCCTAAAATTAATTGAGGTTGACTACATGAATCGTAATACCACCTATGTCGAGGATTCATCCTATTATCAAGCAAAATCAACCTACACAAGATTCCTTCTTTATCCAGATTCGGGGCAAATAAGGTTTTGCACATAGGTAAATTTGTATGAAACCTACACAACCTACACAAGGTTTTGCACATAGGTAAATTACCAACACACCAACAACAAGAGCAGCTACACCTCAATCCCAAGCTAGTCGGCGTCGACAGTATGAAACCTCATTAACATAAATGCTCTGTTTGAATCCAAAATACAGTATTTCAATACTCCATACTTAAAGATCATCCAAGACTAGGGATTCTCTAACATACACTATTGGTTATATCTCTAATATACTAAGAGTCCTCTAATAAGCATTTGTCTTCTAGTTGCTATAACCTATATGGATTCTCAACTTTGTATTCTATCTCGGATTTCGAGATATTCTATACCTATTGTAGTTTATAGATGACTGAGTGTCTTAGTGAAGAACCATATTTTGGGTAGATTTGCTGCCTTTCTATCTATGGCTTGCATAAGACAGTTCTGACAGTTCTTCCTAAATCAATAAAATTAGTATTACTTTTTTGTTATGAATGCAGCCCAAGATAATAAAGGTGGTGAAAGTGGATCCATTAAAAAGAGAAGCAGACCCAAATATCCGCCAAAGAACCTGTCAAATGACGTTTGGGACCCTGGCTAAGACAAGGCTATATGGATATAAAGTGGGATAGCTGCTGAGAGGATTCTTACGCGAATACTGAGTCTTTTCTTTATTTTAGCTTAGCTCTTGTTGGAGCATTCTGGAACCTCCCTCCATTCTTGTTTTATTTAGTTCCTTGTTCTTAGTATTGTTCATGGTTAGAATT